CCCCCCCCCACCCAAAAAAATTAAACACTGCATGAATATACAGCCTCATGCTGAATCATTCAAAACTATTCCTTATTTCATGATTAATAACCTTTGGATTATAATGTATATTAAACAAAAAATATCTTTAGATAGTATTTTCCTTAGAAAGCATTCTATTAAAAAATCCAATTTAATTGAAAAAATCTGATTTAATCCTTAAAAATCTTTTTTTTTTTAATCATCAAGTTTTATCCACCCTGGCATAAATCAAGGTAGCACCCATAGCTTCATAATATACTTTGAAATGCTTTTTGTCTACAGTCTAGTCTTCTGATTTTTCAGAAATCTTGTTTTCACCTTCCATTAAACAAAACAGCCAGAGCATCTAAATATCCATGTGAGTCAGCTTTGTGACACAATTGTTTATTAAACATGTCAAAACTAAATAATATTAAAACTAAGATTAGACATATACAACACTAAGACAGAAATGTTCTGCCAACCCAATTTGACTGCCTCGGAAATATCTCTAAGGCACAGCTTCCTCAGAACATTCACATGACATGGAAAAAGGTCCAGCTCCTTCAGAGATGTCGCCTCCTTTATACCATGTTAGATTATAACACCAAGCCAAATGGAGCTGCATTTAAAATGTTTGAAAAAAGCAGCTTGTTCAGAATGGTGCAGGTAAATGGAGCCTTTGCCATTGAAGCAATTCTGTTTATTTTCATCTGTATCCCACATTCAATTCAATGTATTGGTTTTTGGCTTCAGACCCTACACAGGTTTGAGACTAGGCACAAGGTATCTACAAGACTATTTGTTTCCACACAATTCTGCCCACCGATTGTGGAAGAAGATCTACAGTTCCAATCAGATACATCCCCCAAATTTGGAGTGCTTTCCCTTGGAAGATCTAATATAGCTGCTTCTTAATTTTCAAAGAACTAGTTGTAACCAGCAGTTCTAAGTCAGCATTCATTGCAATTTATTTTTTGTTTCCACCAGATGGTTTGGCCTTATCAGACTCCTATGGAGCTGTTGGGCTTCTAACTATTTTTCCTACAGTTTTATATGATAGCACACCACTTTGAGAGTCTGGTGAGCAAACATTAGCTGATATATTTTAATACAACTAAATTAATAACAGATAATGTATAGCCTCCTACGGTAGGTTCTCTACTAAAGATGGACAAGGGTGCTTATACAGGAGAAGCTTCTCTCCAAATTATGTTGGGTCTGTGATATTTAGCATAGAACACCACCAGTATTTCGAATGGGCCTCATGTGAACAGGCAGCCAATACAGCCCAAGCATCAGTGAATGTGCTCCTCACTTCCTGAAGAAGGCAGGCTACATAATTTGCACCATTTGCAGTTTTCATTCTTTTCAGTGTCAACTAATTCCAAAAATCACAGAAGGCATGAATAGCAATAACCAAGTACTACTTCTGTGGGAAGGATACTGCCTCTTAGATATAAAAGGATTTAAAATGCTTCCAGCCATTGCTATTTAAGCTTCCAGTAGTATTTCCTCACTGAAAATATTTCCTTTCAAGGAAAGTATGATCAGAACTTGAAGCACTCCGTTTCAAGAGGAAAAAACAAACTGTACAAGAAAGTAACTCAAACATTTTTACTATGAAAAGCAATTTCAATAACTGCATACATTATGTGCATATTTTGCAGAGTTTAATTTGCTTTGTTTCTGATAGTAATGGGGAAAACAAAGAGAATTTAACTATTATCTACCACAACTACCTGAAATGCTGCCCAGGCTGCCCAATGCTTTTCCAAATTCCACTAGCATTAACCACACACTTTCAGACATCTTTGCCACCTAATTACTAGTAACTTATTTTAAAATGGAACTCATAGCCAAGATTTCCAGATACTTGCTTTGTGTGACTAGTTACATCCTTACTATCACACTAATGCATTAGCTACACCATTTTCTACACATGCGTAGAACTGACACCTGGTTAACATGCATTACAGTATCCTCACTGATCCTCCACTAAACTATGCATCTGCATTATGGATTCAGCTACCCTGGAAGGTGTGCCTGGTGCCAATCCTTTATAAATGTCAGTGGCAGGTTTAAAGTTTTTTATTTGCCCATTATTTTAATTGTTGAATAGAAGGCTCTGATTTTATATTGGTTTTATTATGATGACTGGCTTGCTGTGAATCAGTTGTTGTGTTGTTGCTGTAATCATTATTATTTACTTGGTTCACCACAGCTTATTATATTTGAATTTTTATGATTATTATGTAAATGTTCTGGTCTCATGTTTTATGCTGTTTTAATCACTGTACACCATTCTGAGAGTGTCTACTAAACAATGGTTCATAAAAGCTTTAAATAAATAAATCTGCAAAACTTTGCCCAATTATCAGCACAGAAAACAAGCTAAATTTGACAATTACTGCTCTATAGTGGCAAATAAGGAAAAAATGTTGCTGGTGGTGCGTCCCACGGAATTCTGTGGGGAGGTGATTGGCGTGAAAGAGTCTGGAGGGTGCAAATGGCCCCAACCTGCTGTGGACACCTAGCCAATTCGAAATAAAGCTGAGTTAGCCAATACCTTGCTCCATCCACTGGCATGAGTTGCTGCATCTTGTGTCCTTTCCTTGTACTCCTGGTAAGTCACTGGCCTAAACAAGTGAAAAACAGAAGCAGCTAAGGAAATGCAAAACAAAGAATGAAACTTATTTTGCAATAATTTCTGCACAGTGCTGAACTAGCAAATACAAAAATATCAAAAGCTTTCAGGTTTCAGGAAGTCACTTAGGCCTACAAATAGCATTAGATCTCACTGTTTCCTATGTTATCATCCCAAGCACACAAGTAACAGAAAAGGAGTATCTGAATTCTTGAAAAATAGAACCAATTTAGGAATTGCTATCTTTTAACTGCTTTTTAGTTGTCATTAGCTAACATGGGATAAAGTAATAATACTTCGATCAGAAAGACTATTGGACTGGAGGCAAAACTGGAGCTAGCAATATCTGGGGAAGCTGTCCCACTCCTTCCATCTCTGTCACTCAATGAGAGAAACTAAGTATTTATAATCTGAATCCCACTTTTCCTCTAAGAAATTCAGAGTTGTCTTTTTAGCTCGATTCCACCCTCTGGAATCAGGCTGATATACAGTAATCCCTTATGCAGCCTCATAGTTGAATGGCATCTGAATCTAAGACAATAATGGTTAACTGACTGGAAGTTGAACACTTCAGAATGTTTCCTATTGCACAGTTAAATAGGATGCTTTTAGAAGTTTTCACTTCTGCTTTTAGGTAGCCAAGGTCTGTCAAGTTATCTGTATAAAACGAAGTATGGGAATCAATACCTATGATTAATTTGAAACATGCATCAAACCATGGCTTCTGTCTTGCTGAAATTAACCACAGTTAATGTTAATCACATTTGGTGGTTTGGATAACAAGCTGCAGTTAACAAATAATGGATGCAAAAGCTTCTGAACTCCTCCCTGCCAGATAGAAAGAGAAGAGGGGAACCTGAGCAAGCACCCAAGGCTCAGTGTAGCTAGTCCTTGTCATTCTAAATCATAATTTAGTGCAATGTCAGAACTGAGTTCATAAAGTCTGAATAAAGCATCTTTCAGAGAACAGTTTGTGCAGTAAAATTGTATTCATATTTTAATAGGTTTCCTTTTACACATTTATATTACAAAAATGCATGTACTTCCTGAGGCAACATTCACCTGTTACAGAGATCAGAGCAGCCAGACCTGTTTAAACATGCGCCATTTCATGAATTGAAAACTTATCAAGACTTATTTTATATAAATTACTGTTTTAAACTATCAGCGACATATTACCACATTCTTAGAAAGGTATTAAATTCACCTTAGATATAAATAAACACACTACGGATTAAACTCCAGACATAATTTTCCCCTTATCATCCAACATCATTCAATCACAATTCATTTCAAGGGGCAGTTCACCTAAGTGCTATAAAGTGAGGAAATACTGAATGGTTTACTATCCATCATCCTAAAATTTAGTATTTACGTATTTACCCCTCTATTTCTAAGCATGCATGAGTATTATCAGCCTCAATTATTTCTTGAAAAATACAAAATTTCAAGAAATTTGGCAACGCTCAATGAATGCACTCTCTTTCCCATTATACAGCACTGGCTGTAATCACAGTTTGTTTTCTGCCCCCTCCCCCTGGTGGGAAGTACCTTGAATAAGAATTATATCATCCATTGACACAGAACCAAGTGATACTTACACACTGTCATACATATCTACACATAACCCTATTACGAGGTTATGCTTGGGTGTATTTGAATTATACACCACACTGGAAGTTAATCTAGACTAAAAGGCACAATGTGTAAGTGAAAAGTGATTAGGGAGCCATTCAGTTTGCACCTTTTCATAACTATTTGATTGTGCTTGTTTTCCATTTCAACATGGTGCATTCAAGGTAATGTACCATAACCTGCTTGACAGTGACAATCAAAACCATCCAGTTAAAAATAATATCTAAAAGCCAATCTAACAGAAATTACATTATGTAACACAAAGGCCCTACACTGGGCATATTTCAACAAGTCCGCAACACCACCTTAGGAAATAAGCACTTTAAGGGCACAACAAAAATATAATGAAGGCACCAGCTGGAGCTCTGGAAGGAGCTGCAAGGAAACTCCACCTTGAATCTGTCACAAAAACACCATTGTCTAAACAGATAGTTTTTATGTGGGTTCACACTGTATCTCTATCTTCTTGTTTCCATTCATTTTTATGTGAGGGACTGGTCAGCACTTGGTGAAAGGAGGCACAAAGGGAGGCAGTAATAGCTGCATAAGTTAACATCTCACTCTGCTTTCCTGCAACAAAGTACCTACAAGGAATTCACGATTTGTCATTTGCTGGGGACAAGCATCCAAGCAACACACACACAGATATGAAGAACTGAGATTGGTACCACAATATCAAGCAACACGTTTCTCCTTTTCTGCCTAAAAAAATTCTTGTGTTGAAATCAGACAGAAACCCTGGTAGAGCCTACCATGGTGGCAGTTACACAAATCATACAGGAGGCAAACAGCTGGTAGAGCACTCTGCATGTGCTCAGCCAGCAAACAAAACTGGACCCCTGGGCAGCAGCTTTTGCTTTTTCCTTCTCTGAAGCATAAAAAATACTGAACATGAGAATTTCTTGAAGGAGGAAGTATGAATGCATAGGAAGGTACTAAGCTAGATTAAGAAAAGGTTGTGAAGTGTTTCTTTAAAAGTGCATGGTTCTTGACTGCACTGCTCCTGCAACTTGTGTCCTGTCAGGTTGTTAGAGGCTACATTCAGAAGAGTCCAACAAAAAACTCAGTGAAACAGGCCCATACGAGCCACACTCCTGGTTTTTGTTCTGATCTGCTTGCCCGTGAGTTAAAGATATAGGTGAGTGATGAAAAGCCATGTGTCTGCCCTTTTCCTCTGACATGTCTATGCTACCATTCTAAATTAATTCTGCTGTGAATAGATACACAGAACCTCCAACACAGGTGCTGCAATCCTGCAAGTGTCCCTATGATCTTTTTGCAGAAAATGAACAGTTTTTAAACTATTTTAGATAAAGCACTGTTGGAGGAAAGTCACCAATTACATATTTCATTAACTCATATTAACTTCACTTATATAAGAAGTTCTTACAATTACTGGAAAACTCAACTCTAATTTCCCAATGTCCTTCTGTGCTCTCTAGATGCCTTTCTAGACTAGTAAGACTGCTCACAGAAACGAGAACAATCTTCAATAAAACTGCAAGTATAAAAGGGGTAATTTGCTACTGCTCACATTGATAAAACATTCTTAAGATCAGACACAGCAGAATGCCAATAATTTCCCCACTGTTTTATCTTCAAAATACAGAAAAAAGTGTTTTTCAGATCAGTTGTACCCTGAACAAGTTTGGACCTCGGTATACTGCTGAACTACATGCAATCAATTTGGTAAAATTGATGCAGCTTTAAGAGAGGCAGAAAATGCCAATTTAGCAAGCTGTAGTAAAGCCAATTAACTTATCCCCTTGATGGTCACATTATCAACAAAAGAAAATGCCAGTACTTTGTTTTGTAAGAATACCCTAGCTCTACATATCCATTTGAAATAGTGCAATGAAGTGACTCATTTCCTAGCTCATGTCAACATTGAAATCCTATCCCACTAAGTGAAAAAAAAAGTGGACTGACTTACATTAAACACGTTTCTGTGCTACCTCAACGCAATTTCTCTATTACTTCCTACTTGTCCCTTTTATTAAAGGCCAGGAGCGCTCCCACTATGAGAATAGGGAAGTAGTTCCAATAGCAGATGTGCACCCATGATATGTTTGGCACCATCTGGGGTACCTAGAATATAGAGATATCAGTATTAGCCCCTTGTCATTGCAGTATAGGATCCAGATCTTAAACATTTAGGATGAAGGACTGTACCCTGACTACTGGCTAATGTGCAAAATACTTATTTTGCTGGGTATTTACAACTATGAGAATAAGGAAGGAAAGAAGTTGGTAGATCCATGTTCAGAGTTTAAGCAATAGAGAAATGGCAGCTCATTCCATACATGCACTTTTCTTCCTTAAGTGTATCAGCTTGAAAAGAAGTTGTTGCAAAATTCAGACACATCATCAGCATTATCATAATTGTGAGAATTTTAAGAGCAAGTACCTTCCTGCTGAGCAAAGCAAATGAGAACTCACTTGCTAAGTAGGGTCTCTAATGCCCTTTGAAGAGGTTCTTTTAATTCCTGGAAGACTCTTTCTCCAAGATGAGCTAAGCAATCTTCTATTGAAGTCTCTGGACTGGCAGGGCTAAATACTGGAGATGTATGGCAGTCAAAGCCAGTACTGGTAAAAGCTGAAGACAAACAGCACAAAGTCAGTTTTTAACATCATTTTTAAAAAAGTATGAAAAAGTTCTTTAACCCCCATGAAATAATTCAGTGAAAGGCCAAATAAGGCTTTTGAAGGGGCTGGCTAAAAGTATAAAATAACTATTGCAACATAATTCAATTCAAGTAGATAAATCTAATTAAAAAACAGTTTCATGAATTATCTGCACAAAGAATTGGATTCCATCAAAAGACTTCATTAGCATACTAATTACTTGCATAACCTTTATACTTACTGCATTTTTATAATATATTGTTCCAAGAACATGAACTAAATTTTAAAAATATTTTCCTTCTGAAAATAAGGGGCTAGGAACTGTAATATTTGCGATCAATATTACCAAACCAGGAAAAAGATCACAGACCTTCTAAAATTTCTTCATCAAGGCGTTTTAATTCCTCATCAATTTCCGCTTTAAGTTTGTCCAGAACCTCTTTATCTAAACCTTGTGAGACTGCAGCTGGATGAGTCACTGAAATAAGTCAAAGAAATTTGCTAAAAAGGTGTCTTTTTTAGGTCTGCTAAAGCAAAGTGCATCATTTTCTATAAAAAATAGAAAGACAGCAAAACAATGGTAGTGAAAAAATAAATCCCTACAAAAAACAGTAACTCAAGGCTGCAATCCAATACACACTTACCTGAGAGTAATTCCCAATGACCTAAACTGGATTTCTGAGTAGTTATGGACAGTATTGTGCTGTAAAACTGTTTCAAAGGTAGTTACAGAAAAGAAAATTAACAGAGCTGCAACTGACTTTTTCCAGCATGTTTATGTCCTGCCAAGTGATTTTTTTAATCTCCCTGGAATATTAATTTTTGTCAATGTTTTATTTATTGTCTCCTATCTTTTACCACCTGGTATTCAGGGGCTTATAATATTTTAGATTGTCACAGACAAGTATTTAATCTTGACAAATGCTCAGGACCAGATGTTTGGAGGAAGTACACTGGACAGCCAGAAAACTTGGCACTAGAGAGGGAGTCTGTGTTTGGTGGTCCTGAATGGCACGCTTCCTGTTCTGGCAAGCTTCCTTCCCCACCCACCTTTTTAATGAACTTAACAGAATGCAATGGTAGGAAAAAGTCTCTCCTTCATGGCTAAGAAGCACTCCTTAGGTACTGTATAGGCAAATATGCAGGAGCCACAACATCTAAGTGAGAGAGTAGAGAACAGGCACACTTTGTAGGGTAATTTATTCCTGCCCTGTGAGCATATTTTAAGATAGTACAGTAAGAGCAGAAGCAGCAAATTCCTTTCAGGTATGCTTACTTCTTGAATATGCTTTAATCATTTGCATACAAAATTAGCTTAAAAAAANAAAAAAACAGAAGGCGAGAGAGGAAAGTATCCATCCCAATACTTCAATTCCCTCCTCTTAAAATCTTAGAGAATCTTTCTAAACAGAAAGAAGAGGGCATCTGTGGAAGCGGCTGAAAGCAGGTTTTCTACCCACCCTCTCTTACTGAAATATGGTTCCTTTTGAGAGGTTATTGGGCCAGAAGCTTGAAGAAAGTGGGAACCAGTGCACAAATTATTAATTAACTACTGGGCTATGCTACATGTAGGCTATGATACCATGCATACTGTAATTCTATGGTCAAGTGAAAATGTAAATTACTTTTGAATAAATGTATAGAATTGCACTATATTTTAGGGAAGTAATCTATCTTATTAAATGACTAGAAATCATTTTAGCATGTGATCCTAAGTGTCCGGGCTTAGCAAAAGGCCACTGAAACTATGACAGATTGGACTTTGTAGCTATCTCCTAGATAAAGGTTGGCTAGTAAGTTTAGCCATAATGGTAGACTCATGTGTATTATCCCAACAACTTGTCGCATTCAGAACCATTTGAATCACATGACCAGAAAGGTTATGCAAAGGACTAACATTTCTCAGACCGCCTTTCCACCAGAATATCCGTCATACACTGACATGCAAGACTTTACGCAGACAAGTAAAAAAGATCAAACTAGCTTTGTTCTGTGTCACTGTCAAACTGTGAAATGCATTTCCTCAGGAACTACAATTGGCATCCACTATCTTGGCTTTTAGAAATGGTGTGAAGACACATCTTTGGTTTAGCTCTTTAAATTACACGGTTTTAACATGTTACTGTTTTAACGACCATAGCTGTCACTCAGCACATAGTTAAACTATGGAATTTGCTGTCACAGGAAGTAGTGATGGCTACCAATGGATGGCTTTAAAGGGGGATTCATGTAGGAGAAAAAATGTGGCTACCAGAACGGCTGATTATATGCTGTCTCCATTATCAGAAGAGCTATGTCTACATGTTGCAGAGGAGCTTGGGTAGGTGGAACTCATGTGCCCATTCTGTTTGAGGGATCTATGGGCAGCTGGTTTGCCACCATATGATGAGCCGCCCCGAGGCTTCGGCGAATGGGGCGGCATAGAAGTCCCCTAAATAAATAAAATAAATAAAAAATAAATATGATCAGAGTGCTGGACCAGATGGACCACTGGTCTGAAACAGCACGGCTTTTCTTATGTCCTCATGACTGCATGAAGGACTCTTGTCAGTAGGGAGCAAACCATCCCCAAAGTGGACAGCATAAGTTTTGTTAGATTAGGTTCAACCTAATTAGTGCCAATCTATCACAATTGCTTTTGTGAGGCAACCCTTAAAGAGAAAGGAGAATCTACCACATCCCAATTTATCACCGTAGTATTCTGAAAAAAGGTCTGACTAATATAACTTAGTCAGGCTAAGACCTATTTAAAACTTATTTTAATTGTTAAATTATTTGTATTTATAGGATTTTAAATTTTTAGCCGAGATGCACCGGAGGTTTTTAAATAATTTTTTATTGTTATATTGTTATTTATTTATGTATTTTGTTTCTGTTGTGGGCCGCCCCGAGGCTTCGTTGCGATGGGGGCAGCATAAAAATGTTTTAAATAATAAATAAATAAACAAACTTGGGTTGAAATCCCTGCTAAGATCAGTTTAAGTATGATATTGATATTTCTGTCATTCATAAACAGGAATTCTTGCAATTCAGAACTCAGGGAAAGTTCCTACAAAAATGGAGAAAAGAATACAAACTTAATTAGTCGTTCATTGATTTAGTTCTAGCTCGAAAGATGACAGCAGAGTACAAAGTGGCTTCCTTTCCCTTTTTATGTTCTAAATTATACCATACTTATCTAATATTCTCACCTCCAATTCCAGCTACACACCAAATATATAAAAATGAACATAACCATCAAGATGTCCTGCACCCTTTCTAGCCCCCTATCACACAGTAGCCTAGCTCAAATGACACCAGAGGTAAAATGGACTGAATGGGACATGTCTTCATTCAGATGTTCTATAATTCTCCATCCAGGCAGCAGTACCACAGCCAACTGCCTGAATCACAGTTTGAAGGAGAAGGAGATTCTTTGTCAGGGCAACAGGAAGGCTAGTTTTCTGTACAAGATCTGTCTGTACTAGAAAGAGTGAATAACAGTTACGTAAAGGAAGACTCAAATGTAGGCTCCTCAATTAACATTAAGAGTGCCCAGACCAACTGGGAAGGAGCCCATTCAGATGAGCACCTGTTTCCCACAGGACTTGCCTGATGGTGATCATATATGACAAGTTGTCATACTTGGTAAGAAACCATGCTGAAAAAATGAGGAAGAGAATGTTTGGTCCTTTCAGTACACAGCAGTACTGTTTAGATAACTAATGTGGCATCATCAGTGCTTTCCCGTTTCATTACCGACTCGGCATTCAAGCAGCAGCCATTCAGTGTTAATGGATCAGAAACAACCACTCTGGCTCACTGGTTCCAAAGGAAGCAGCATAGCTGACAGTAACTGATGTTTGAGCTTCACTTGATAGGCCAACAGCAATATGAAACAGCACATACCATTTCAAAGACTGGTTAAAATGCTTTAATTAAGTAGAACTACATATACTGTGTATATGTATCTATTGTTCAATCAGCAGAAAGTATGATTAGAATGCCTATCTATATCCAGAGAAATAAAGCATAACACACTGTTTTCAAGTGATGCTCTGTGGTCAGTGCTGGAGTAACACTCCCAGACTGTGTAGAACGTCAAATGTGTTGAAAGGGTGGGGCACACACTGATGGCTCCTCAATGCGAGTCCTAAGTTAAAAAGGGCCACAAGTTACTTTACTTGTCATATCAGAAAGCTGTAAGTTATTTAACTCACAGTCTGTGAGGTTGCATGCCATCTAAAAGTCACTTCCATTTTTGAGGGTAAATGACCCTCAAAAGGACTTTGTGAGAATGGTGCATGAACCTAAACTAAAGGACAGTCCAGGAGCTAAACAACCCAACCCTCAACCCAAGAGCAAACCAAGCATTGTTTAGCTCCTAAATAACCCCTTGGACTGGGTTCATACATCATACTCACAACATCCTGTTGGAAGTATTTTATAGGAATCAGAAGCAACTACCACAAAGCTTGAAAATCTGTTGAGTTAATTAACCTGCAATTTACAGCCATGACACATAAATTGGCAAACTGTATTCATGTCATTAGTGGACTGCTGCAGCTAATGTAAAGCTTCAGTGGCCACAGCTTTCATCCTGAATATTCAACCCCTGACCATGGGTTCTTATGCAAATCAGGCTGACAGGGCTTACCTTAGGGCTAAGCAACCAATGACCTGTTTCTCTCTCACATAACCCACCAGCCAGGTTCATATAACAATATATAACAATATAACCCCACAATTGGGGCTTAAACATTCAGGATGGCACCTAGAGGCACTGCAGCTTGTCCTGGCTTAACTAGGCCACAATGAGCTACATCATGTGAGCAGTGTCACAATATCACTTTCCAGCTATAAGGTTGTAACTCATAATGTTCAAAAGAAAACTGTCTTTTCTACAGTTATAACACTGAACTGATTACAGCTGACTTCTGAGTCATAGAGCCATAATCCCTAAGTGAACCACTGTGCTCAAAACAAATGCCACTACAACTAGCAATGCAAAAAAGGACGCAGAAAAGGCCCTCTGTTAATGATTGGAGATCCGACTCAAACAGAACCTGACTGTTTGCCTGGTCTACTTCCATCACTGTCCACCTTCAATGTATTTTGCTTTCAGGGCATTGCTACCAAAATGAAACCCTCTAGTTTATATTTTGAAATAATAAAGACATGTAAACTCTCATTTGAGATATAACTGTTTTCTCAAATACAGGAGAAATGCATTACCTTGAGCTGGCAAAGAGTGCTGCTCTTGAGGCTTTTCCTGTGACAAGAGACCCAAATAGCTGAGGACAACATATTTTGTTTCATAGTGAAAACCTACAGGCACAGCAGTGGAGGATGCCATCTGGTTGGCTTCCAGTGTTCCACAGATTACAGACCACGTAATGTTTTCTCTGTTCAAGATCTAAACAATGAAAGATACAAATTTAAAATCAACGTCAGGTTACTCATTTTGCCAAGCATACTTCTCCTGGAGTTCACATACTGACATACCAAAACTTTTGGTGGGTAAGGGAAGATGATGTGCAAAATTGATCAAGCATTACAAAAGGTTGATTACTTGAGGATTTTATTTATTAAATTTAAATGTATTAAACTATTTCACTGGGAAGAGTTGCCAATGTCTACCAATGCCATCTTAATAAAATTATTACATCTAACTATGTAAAGGAGTGAAGTGCAGCTGCTGGGGGCTCATTATTGCTATGTTCTTGTTATTTTATTGGTGTATTGTTGATTTGTTGTTGTATCTTGTGTTTGATTGTGATTTTTGATCCTGTGAACCACTCAGAGGACCATCTTGGCTAGGCGGTATAGAAACCAGAATGAATGAATGAATGAATGAGAAAGATACAAGTACTTCCATTAACAACTGGATAGCCCTAGGCCAATAAGCAGGGCAGTGAAGAGCAGTACTTGGGAGGCCATGAAGAAAGTCTGGAATGAAGAAAAATAACCTCCAAGAAAAAAGTAACCTTCCTTTAAACCCTACTAAAGTCTGCACTTGAAAAATCATACATGTAGGAAAACAAGATTAGAAACAGGAAAATGCCCTAACAGGGATGGCAGCAAGACAGGCCCATTTAAGCTGCGCCCCTACCTGGAGTACAACTGCCTGGCGACAGTGACACACGCACTGGTGACTTCCCGCCTAGACTTCTGTAACGCGCTGTACATGGGGCTACCCTTGAAGACGGTCCGGATACTTCAATTGGTTCAAAATAGAGCTGCCAGGCTGCTGACAGGGACTGGGCGTTATGTTCGCATGACTCCAGTCCTCCGTCAGCTTCACTGGCTTCCCATTGAAGTCCGGGCCCAATTCAAGGTGTTGGTGATGACCTATAAAGCCCTAAATGGCTTGGGTCCTGGTTACCTGAAGGAGCGCTTACATCCATATATGCCCGCCTGCCCCTTGAGATCTGCGGGAGAGGCCCTTCTCCGGGAACTCTCCGTGAAAGAAATTAGGAGGGTAGGTACTCGGAGGAGGGCTTTCTCTGCGGTGGCGCCCAATCTATGGAATGCGCTCCCCAGAGAGGTCTGCCTGGCACCGTCGTTATTTGTTTTTCGGCGCCAGGCGAAGACCTTTTTATTTAAACGTCATTTTAATTGTTAATATTATTTGCTTATTTTATCTGGCCAGGGCGACTTATTTTATATTGTTAATTTGTTTTATATTTTTAATGTATTATATTTTAATTTATGTTGTGAGCCGCCCCGAGGCTTCGGCGAATGGGGCGGCATAGAAATGTTTTAAATAAATAAATAAATAATAAATTAAGAAGTTGACTTATCAGGGAGGCCAGTCCTGATACAGTAAAATTTACTTTTAACTTTTAATATAGTGTGTCACATGCAAATATTTGTGCATAACATAGTTCTGCTTTAAAAATAGCTCTCTTGTAGCAAAATAAAATGTACATATAAGCCACATATATTTCTTAAATTTATCTTGCATTGAAAGTGTCTCATGTTTCACTTTCAGTTTGAACTGCATGATCCTATCATTTCATGCAAGTCTGTGTGTATTGGTCCTATCAATTTCCTGTTTTAATTAATTAACATCAACTGCTCTGTCTAGTCTTGAAGTCCCAGAAATCAGCTGAATTCAAGATGCTGTGATAAAAAAGAAGAAATAGCATCTCAGCATGTACAAAATGTACTTCTCTCACAAATTACCCTAAGTTGTACCTCTGCAAATGCACACTAGGATGAAAGGTTCCCATGGCCGATAGCACTATTTCCAAATAAGTGTTGGCCTAACTATGACTCACTTTGTTTGAAGCATACACAAGATCAAAGAGCCCAAGGAGAGTGACAGAAACACCAGTAGCAGGACCATTCACGAGTGCTACCAGTGGCTTAGGATGGTCAATAAAATGATTGACAAAGTCTCTAAAAGCAAAGAAAGGACATCCATCAGTTTTATAGCACAGTGAAAGACTCAAATTCATTCTGTTTCAGGTTTTTTTAAATTTCAAAATAAAAAACAAGGTGCAATCCTATGCATGTTTGTTGTTACATGCCATCAAGCCATCTCTAACTTATGGCTACTGTATGTATGTATGTATTTTCCATCCTACCTTTTTTCCTTCCAAGGAACTCATGGCAGCTTACATAATTCTCCTCCTCCCCTCAATCTTAGCCTCAAAAGCAAAACAAAACACAACAAATACAACACCGTGAGGTAGGTTGGGCTGAGAGACTCTGCCTGTTCCAAAATCATCCAGTGAGCTCTTGGTTGAGCAGACTAGAACCCAGGTCACCTGAGTCCCAGTCCCACACTCCTAACCATTACCCTACACTTGCTCCCTATGACTAAATGCCCTCCAAAGTGTACTGTCTTTAACAGCCCTGCACAGCTCTTACAGACTCAAGGCTGTGACTTCCTTTATGGAATCAATTCATCTAACAATTGGTCTTCCTATTTTTCTTCTGCCTTTGACTTTTGCTGGCAGAAAAAAAGCCCTACAGCTCTCAACATTCCCCACCCAGCCACAGCTGGCTGGGAAATACTGGGAATTGTAGAACCTTTTTTTGTGATGTAAACATGCACAGCTTTGTAACCTAAATGTGGCCAGTGAGCTTGGCAAGCTATTTGTTTAGTACACTGCATTTTCTTGGTTACTTGAAATATCCTCTATAAAGGTTTCTAATATAGATCACAGGGATTTTGTTTCAGTTTGCAAATCCTCCAAATATTCCCCATTCCCAACCCTAAACATAAGTGTGTTTAAAAAAATGTGCAGATTCCCAAATTTGAAAAAAATATGTTTTTAATATGTACTTTGAAAAATGTATTTAAATATGCATTTTCACTCTAATCAATGGAGGGAAAGTGTGCTCTTTTGAAAAATGCACAAAGGAATGCATACTTTCCCTGTTCAAAATGCACCCTTTAACCATTTGAACAAACTGAAATCATGCTGTATATAAAATGAGAAATGAGCCAAACTGCAAATATTTAAACTGAATATTCATACATAACTGGTGAAAATTTCTTACGACTTGGAAAGAAGGGTAGCTTTTACTTTGAACTTTATAGGAATCACCCATGGGGCTTAACACCATCCCGAAATAGGTTCAACACTGTGGAGCACTATGGTTAGCATCTATAAAGCTTGTGGGGGGGGGGAGCTGCTATGGATAAGGAATCCTACTGGCATAGGAATCTTTAGCTACCCCTGCATTTAAATACTTGGGTAAGATTAGCTTAGTATTACATGGTATCCCTTTATATATTCCCCAGACCTATTTTCAAAAAGTATAGGCAGCATTTTTCTCCTCCCCATTTTTCCCTGAAGAAGAAGCAGTTGTCAAACAAACATGGACAATTTAATTTTCCAGATCTTAGAGCATAAATCCTCTCATGAATAAATCCTGGTGAAGGGCTTTGAGAGTGTTGGAGAAGCCAAAAGCAATGCTACTAGGCCAGACTCTAGTCTGGTTTTCTAGCAGGGTCATCCAAAGCGGAATGGGATGGTTCAATTCCATAAGGCATGGGTCCTCAAACTACAGCTCATGGGCTGGATCCGGCCTGCCATGCCCAGGATCTCCTTGCGAGCAAGCCGGTGCCTTGACGGTAGATCCTTTTCTCCCAGTGAGTCCAAAATTATCTCCTTGTGAGCAAGCTGGCCCCAAGGCTGTCAAGTCATCTCTGTGCATGCATGCCCCTGCCTTTCTGCACACACGTGCACATGTCCCCCCTCCCGTCCAGCCTGCGCCCCCTGCCCACACTGCCTTGGCGGCTCGCGCCCATCCCTGGCACCTTTCAACTGGCCCCCTATTCAAAAGTTTGAGGACCCCTGCCATAAGGGGACAGCAGCCTTGGGTACAAGAACTTAGAACGGCTGTCAAAGATAGGGCAATTTGGAGGCATCCATCCATAGGTTGCCGTAAGTCAGAGATTACTTGACAGTAAGTAACAACAACAGATCAGAAAGCTTCTTGCTATTTCACACTAATGATGGGAAAACAACGTTTAATACACTTTTATGGGTTGGTTTTGTGTCACAATATTTGGCAGCCCTGTCTGGATGGATGCTGATAGTATTTAGGTATATTAAGAAGCAAAGAATGGCTTTCCTATATCAAAAGTGATGTTAATTAATATTGTATATGGATATTGTTTATGATCTGATTCCCCTTTTTTGCTTTGTTGCCATCATTGCTAGTGTTATGTTGCAAATAAAAACATTTTAAAACTTTGTGGCTGCTTTTAAAGGGTCTTTAAAACATATTTGTTATCTCTAGCTTTTAACTGAAAAGTTTTAATGAAATGTGCTGCTATTGAAATATTTAAAATCATATTTTAACTCTCTTCTCTCTTTTTTAAAGGTGTTTTTTATCATACCATATTGAACAGTACTGTTTAACATCGTAAGTTGCCCTTGGAAGACTAAGGCTAAGAAATATATCAAATAAATAACTCCACAAAAGATAAAAGGGACAAGCCAAACCAAAGACTACGATACATGTGACACAATAGTTGTTACATATTGTTATGAAAGCAAATATTTGCTAGAATGAAAGTGTTCTAGCAGACACTTGAAGAAGAAAGGCTGAACCTCAGTGGCAGAATACAGGTTTTTGCATGCCAAAGTATCCAGTTTGGTGCCTGGCATCCCTAGGTTGAGCTAAGGAGCTAAGGAGGATTACTCTTGAAAACCTGTAAGATTTTTGTGAGAGATGCAATGGAGAGATGTTTAACTCTCCACTCACTGCATCGAGGGAGGGAAGAGGTTCTGGTGTGTAGAGCATTGTTGTGTACAGTATATCTGCATGTGCAATGGATGTGCACATGTGGCCCCCAAATGATCCATCTTTGTCCTGTGCAGCCCATGCAGAAAAAGAGGTTGCCCAACTCTGGTGCAAATGATACTGAGAAGAAGCATCAATGTTCTAACTCAGGGAAAGTTGGAAAGCTGCCTTCTGAGAGTTTTTTCCAGAATTGTCATCATAAGTTATTTATGGTGAATCATGAGGAGATTTAAGAAATAGTCTATAATTTAGTATAGGGTAAACTTAAAAGAGGTCTCCAGATTATGGCCATAGTCCATGTCATTGTTTCCATAAATATGGTTCAAATCAAGCTTTAACAGTAAGACTATATTGAAGAGGTCTTTTTTACTTCATCCACTTTCCATTGTTTTTCAGTATCTCATGCACATTTTCCACAAAATTGTTAAGATCGTTCCCACTATAGTAGTAATCACCACATCCTAGAATACAAACAGGTTGAAGTCTACAAAAATCCAAAAATAACATTTAAAATATATACAGTATGCTGGGCAATCATTTGGTTCTGTGGGTATATATGAATTGGGGTGCACACGCACATGTTATTGTGGGGGGTACAGGTACATTTTCTTGCTCTCCCTTCCAGGATTTCCACTTTTTATACTTTTATTAAGTAAGCTAATTTGTCACAAGGATGAGTATTTTTTGTGAGCCGCCCAGAGGCTTTGTTGCGATGGGGGCGGCATAGAAATGTTTTAAATAAATAAAATAAAATAAATAAATACATTACTAATACATTCATCAAGAGACAAAGAGTTCAGGGATTTAAAATGTTTTAGTCAGTTGATTTGCCTTGATTTGATTTGTTACACCTTAACCAGCAGCCACTTTTCTTATGAAGCAGTCA